ATCCTGCTGGTATACGTTGGATCAATAGTGATCTAATCGGCTTTACATATAAAATGAAGAATACAAAAGCAAATACCGACATAACGTAGAATGATTTTTTGAAGGTGTGCTATATTTCGGCTGGCCAAACCAGCCTTCTTCGGGTACCTGAAGAAAGCTGGTTTGGCCAGCCGAAATATAGTACACCTTCAAAAAATCATTCTACGTTGTGTCGGTTTTTGCTTTTGTATTCTTCTAGTTCACAGGCATGCCACTTGAAATGAAGGAAACAAATATATCAACTAAACGTAATAGACTTAAAAATCCCAACCGGAGGGAGGCAGACCAGTTTGCTATATACAAGCATATCCGAGGAGCTGAACTAGGGTCTACCGAGAAACAACTCCATGTAGCTAAGTGGTCAGAGCGGGACTTGAACCCGCGAACTCCGGATTTCAAGTCCGGCGCCCTAACCACTCGGTACATGATTTTCGTGTACACTTTTTTATCTTTACTTTGCTATTCATAAATTGTTCAGAATTTGATTTTTAAGAAAATTATCTGCCATCGGATTGCCACACACACACTAATTTCTGACGTTATTGCCCACCTATCAAGATGGCCCCCAAATCATGATGAAGTCTCACTGACGTCAGCGAGTTTGCGGCGTACATGCAGACGAGCACGTGGATGTTGAGTCACGTCCTCTCGCTTTTGTGTTTTTGTAATGGCTACGATGGCTGTAAAAATGTTCAACGATTGTTGCAATCACATGGAAATTACTCTCCAGTGATCGTTACGATTGTTGGATGTAGACCATCGTGCTCATTTAGGTGGCCTAAGCCCACGACACGAATTCGAAGTAAACCCGAACGTAACTTCAGTTATACGAGCGTTGTTGTGGTACAAAGACGCCATTGTAAGGGTTTGTACGGGAACTAAAAGGTTTTGTTTCAAAAGGTATAAAATGAAATGTCCTGCAAATAAAATTGATTCACCTTGTTGCCGTGTTGTATTCTTTGCGGTTTACCCGCGTCTCAGGTGGTTTTGAAGTAGTTTTGGCGAGTGCACGTTGTGGAATGCCGTGACAGTTGATTTTTTTCTTACGTCATAGATGTTTTGACGTCACTTCAAGGGCCTCCATTAAATAACATCACGCGATGCTGGTTTCAGTAAATGAACGAAAGACTTTAGCTTGTTCGCTGCTGATGAATTACGTTCGCATGCATCCGATTTTAGCTTACAAATGAAATTATGGATGGATCTAATGTCCAGTTTACAAGGGTGAGTTTATTTGTAGTATATTTGTTTGCAATTAACCGAAACGCAAGTAACTGAATGCACTGTATCACAAATGAATTTTTTTACGCATATTTTGGATCATCTCAACCTGCCGATGTCGCGATTCAAGAGTTAGATTTTCGTCACTTACAGTTCTATCTGGCGAAATTTATTAGCGCTAACTGACTTTTAAAAACATTCTGACTTAACTGACTTCATGCAAACGACTTTTAACAAAAATCTGAAACATTAATCCTGATAAATTTGCGAGACATGATTTATTAGCCTGCTTTTACAGTAATAACGTTTGTATATCTGTGGACCTTTTCGCAGATAATGAACTTTCTGCTAGATAAATCTGAACATCAAGAAATGCCACATCAACAGCTAAACTCACAGGCAAATTTACCTCGGAGGCAAGCTGCTGCTGTTATGGAAAACCAGCCGATGTGGCGTTGTCAAAGGGATGGTATTTTGCGCCAAAGTTCTGTCAATAATTCTCAAACAGGTAAACATATTACACTAAAGAGTGCGAATGTTGCGACATTTCTTAGCTATAATTAGTGCAACCCACATAGATTTGACGTAATGTTTATTCAAATCAGTAAGGCCGAATAACTATTTTGACAAGGTAACTTTAAGTGAAATCTTGAGATAAATCTTAATTTCACTCTCTGGATTACATCGGATCACACTCGGCTTGGAAAGCCTTCGATCGTTTTGAACATAATTAGCTATAGCAACAAGCTGTTAAAAAGGTTTTCTCGAAAGTGAAAGAGTATGTTTTTTTTGTCAGGTTATAACTGAGTAACCATGGTAACGAGAAAGTGGAACAATTGGTGACATCATGCTGTTTTAAATAAATCGGTTTCGCTATGTTTCGATTTCAGTTTGCATGACGCAAGGTTATAATATTACGGAATGCTTGAATGGAGTTGAACATTCACAGATTGACGTCTCAAATAGTCTTTTGTGCGAACCAGGTATGATTTGTTTTGTTTTGTTTCATTTCGTTGTTGTATTTTTTTTTTTTTTGAATTAAAATGTCGATAATGACGCACTCATTGTCCCTGTCCCTCAAAATTCTCTATGTGCGATACCTCGCTAGGTACAATATGTACAAAGCGCCGTCTTAACGCTTAAACGCTTTTATTCAAAATCGTGTTTATCACTCGGAACGCTCAGTGACTAAATCAATTTGGCTCGACAACCAGCCGAAAATCGAGCCTGAAACTCAGTGTATGGTTTCTTTCTTCCGAACAGTCTTGGGGTTGTCACGTGGTCCTGTTCTGGCCCTCTCTCCTTCAAGCAAATTCAGGAATCTCGGGCGAGTCGTGTTACAACCAAAAGTACAAAATGGTGTTTGTTACAAACGAGGGAGACAAGTTGTTACTAGCAGTGCAAGCTGCAACAAGTTTCGGGGACAGGTCGCTCGGTGTAAATGGCCCATCTTGTCAAGAAGATTAAAATTTGACCTCTGCGACTTTTTTACGTGACTACTAAACAATTAGATTATGAGCTGGAGATTTCTATCGCGTGATAGTTGACGAGGGCGCAGCCCAAGTCAACTATCACACATAGAAATCGAGAGCGAATCAGAGAACGGTATTTGAGATAGAACGCTAGTAGATTTACACTAATAATATTTCTTTTTCTTTTTTTCTATTGTTTGCTAGGACATCTGAGTAATGCAAGGTGCGTTGTACCCCAAACATCGTCAGAGGGCAGGGCACCGCACTCACCAGGTGAAGGTATGTGAGAAGTAAAATTAACGATGGGGTCTAATTAAATCTCATTGAGAAATGTTTAAAAATATGTTAGGCTACACTCTCTTGCTATTAATTAACTCAGTTTAGATTTCAAAAAAAAAAAACGTGCAGCGACGGGACAATGCAAAGTGATTGCGGACTGTTAATTGTAAACCAAGCATGTAGCCGGCGCCAAGCGCGGGAAAGTACGAACAAACGAAGCTATGATTGGTTCTTTACGCTTACATCTGACTGGCTAAGAAAACACAATGTTTTTCTGAACCAATCACTGATCCTAAGACAAAACTAAACAAAAAATCTTGAAATATTTGAAAATAGATGCCATAATCCCTCAGTTTGTGATATTTAATTTTTTGTTATTCTTTTTCATTTTTATTTATTTATTTATTTTTTTTTACAGAAGGCTCCAGGCGAAAACGAAAGTTACCAAATTACAAACGAAATGCAGCTTGGTGTAACAAACAAGCGAACCCCAATCTAGAAACAGGCAAGTAAAACAGACAGTCTCATTGGTTGCTTTTAAATCATATTATCATCGCTGGAAAGCTAGTTATTTACCACAGTCGTCTGAAGAATATTTTATCATCATTGCGTCATCTCATGATAAAATTAGATCACATAGAATCCATTGAACGATCTATAGCCATAAAGAACAACCGACTTAAAATCCACGAAGGAAAGTGGAAGCCTCTCATCAATTAGAGACACTTATTTGTATATTTTTTGTTGAATATTTATTGTATACACACTTTTTTCTGTATTGTTAGAAAACTTATGTAGTGTTGTAAGCGTTGTAAACCTTATTGATTTATTTCCGTTTCGGGTGTTAAGTATAAGTAGTGTGAAGTAGTGTGAAGTAGTGTAGTATACAATGTGGATGTAAAAGTAGTATGTAAAGTAATTAAGTAAATTACTATGTAGTGTAGAAGTGTGTGGTAGTGTTATATACAATGTAGGTGTAACTTAATGAACGCAATGTAATTATAAAAATAAATAATAAAAAAAAAAGTTTTGTCATGTTCGGGTATCGTGGGGGAGAATTTCGCTCATTGTTGATGTCGAACAATCGGGGTTGGACGCCGGGCGAGAGGGTTCTTCATGATCAATTCCTACTGACATCCCGACCAGAATTCCCCTTAATCCCGTAATTCCGACGACAATCCCGATTCTGGTAATATTTTCCTTACCTCAATGAAAAAAGATTCTTTTCAGTCTAGGGCCAGACTCTCTCAAAGCAAACCTAGGCACTTCAATACTCGGTTGCTTTAAAGTGAAATTTCGAATTCCCGATTCTTGCTTCTTTAAAATGCCAAATCCCCTGTCTCGTTCATACAATTACAATCCCGAATCTCGCCGCGTTTTCCTTCAAAATCCCGAATCCCAGCCTTCAAATATGCTAATTCCCGTATCAAGCAGGGAAAAAAACCCTATTGGGTACTTTCAGGCCGGGGCCATTGTGTTGTCCTTGGGCCAAAATACCTGAATACTGCACCATGCCTCCCTCTATACAAGCGTATATAAATTTGTACGGTTTTTTGTTAGGACAACTTGGTAAAAAGCAATGGGAAACCTACAAAGATTCAGTATTTACGCAGGGAAAGTAGAAGTAATGTTTCTCTCTGGTTTAATTTCGGAGGCGTTAATTGTTGATGTTTTATTCTTTTGATCTCTTTCAGGAGCTGCTAATCAAGTTGAACACGATGAACCTCCAAGAGTAAAAAGGAATCGAGGACCCAAACCAAAGATAATGTATGATGGTACGTTAAAATGACTTAAGTCAGCTGGCTTTCTGGTTGAGTATAAACCTAAACTTTTCACCGTTGGTATTGTTTCTTAGAAGTGAGATATTTTTGTGAAAGTCTCAGAGACACTGTTAAAATTCATTCGTATGAAAGACAATCCTATTATAATTTGTAACAGAGATATCAGTACATGTATGTTTTCTGAAGAGAATTCTGAGGCCTACCAGAAAAGACGTACATTACTTGCAAAAGAAAAAAAATCGGACGTTAAAATTCCGGAAGTTTTGTTCGGGACGTTAAATTTTCGGACACTTTTTTTAACTCATTTCGGGAGAATTTCTGACAAGAATTGCTGACACTTCGCTGTAACATAATTAAAGTAAATTTACCCCTTCAAAACACGAATTAGACTAAACAACATCGACAAAAACGATAGTTTTACTGCAGTCTCAAGGTTTTATGAATACACTGACGAGAAAATAACGCGACTTCTATCAAGCTGTTACGTATGTCAAGGTTGTCTCAACTAGAGTTCGCTTCATAAAGCCCATGAAGGAAACTAAGAACTTTGGAACTACTTCCAAGTTTTATACTGTATTGTAAATATTTCGGACGGTTATATTTTTGGACACTTTGTTTGTCCGAAATTACAATCGTTCGTTAATCTTTTGCAACTAACGTTTTCTTTTATAAATGACCACTTTCAAATATATTTTGATTCCAGTCCTTTTAATTTCTCCAGTAGCTTGATTCTTTGTTTTTTAATTCGATCTTGCAGGCAATGGTCCAATGCAGCTTTGGCAGTTTATTCTTTCGCTGCTTGTTTCTTCACCTTCTGAACGTGTAGTGGAATGGACCAGAGAACGAAAGTACGAATTTCGAATCTTGGAGCCGGATAAACTAGCGAAGCTGTGGGGTACGCTTAAGAAAAAACCTGCCATGACTTTCCTAAAGCTTTCCCGTGGTCTTCGATATTATTATGGGAAGTCGGTGTTGGAGAAAGTGCGTGGAAAACATTACACGTACGAATTCGTCATGGACATTGCCACAATCCTGGGCTACGATCCAGTGCGCGAGAATGCAGAGGGTGCGGCTAGCAGTGCAAACCCCCCTAACGCGGTATTTCCACCATCTGAAGTTCTTCCATCAGACGAGTTACAGGTGCTGGATTCTGCACGACAGTGGAAGGGGTGTAGCGGAAATGGGGAGGGGTTGTTGAGTAGAGGAGCGGGGTTGTCGGGGATAAAATTGTTCGATTTCAGCGTGCTTGTTGAATCGAACGAAACGAGTAGCTTCTATGAAGCATTATAAGTTCGTCTTGTATCAAGCGTGTCAAAAAGTTTCCTAAAGCCAGAAGAGACTTATTAAGGGCTGTACGTCAAACCTGAAGTAGCAATTACCAACTTAATCTAAAATTAACCCATGATCACCGACATCGAACGGACCGCATTATCTTCCCAATCAGAGATTTCAAACTTTTTCACAAATTGAGCAGCCATAAAATTCTAAACGCACTCTTTCAGACATGTACAGTGGTGTTGAAGAGTTCTTTCACTAAATGAGACTAGAAAACAATAAGTGAATTCGAAGAGTTGTTTGCATAGTTTTCTAAATACTTTCATTGATAGATATTTCTGTCTCATTGCAATTAGTGATTCGAATTAGTTTCTTCCGCGTACAGTCATTGGGAAGTCTCTCTATGTTATTTCACATGTACCATGTGTAACTACGTGTAGTTAAAAGTTTTAACTTTTAACATTTAAAAATGAAACAGAATTCATATAACATCAGATAAGACAAACGGGTGAGAGATTTACCTGCTTTCTATGTGCTTGGGAATTTTGTTGCATTTGGCACTTCATGTTATTATTTTCAATATGTTATTGAAAGCAGCGACAAGACTTATGACTTTTTGCACTCTGTCGAGGTTGCTTTAAAGAAGTCTTTTCTAAGAAAATTCAATAACAGTTGTACCTGCCCATGTATACTTCGTATACGAGTCCGCGGTTCGATACTTGAATCAGTTGTAACTTTTTTTATACCTTTACTTACGTTTAGATTTGGTATCCAGATCCTACACGTGTTGTAATATATGTTAAATCCATTAAATACTTCGTCCATTAAATATTGTACATCCATTAAATATTACTTATTAATTTACAACAACATTACAAAAGATAGAAATAAACAATAGAGAATAACTGCAGGTAATCTAAAATAAAGTAACAGTGTAATGTGCACATGCATAAGCGACTAGATTACTATTATTAACAAACTATGTTAATTTAGAAAACTCCTGTATCAGTTGGGAGACTTCAATATAGCCATCTTCACATTACAACACAGATAGATTGGGCGTGACGCCGTGCGTCTGTTCAGTAATAGATCAGTAAGGATAAATTTTTATAGTTTTCTGATCACTAATTGTTGTTGCGATTTGTCTATGTTAGTCTTCTATGAATTTTGCATTTTATCTCGGGCAGTTTATTTAAAATAAGGAATCTAGAATTCTCTATAAACTGGCCTAATTGCTCAGATATCTCCTTTTTATACTTGTAAATATATTTAATTCTTTGTTTTTGTTTTTGTTTTGATCATCTGTGCAATTGAATTTGAGTAAATAAATAAATAAATAAATAAATAAATAAATAAGACGTTAAAAATGAAATGATACTCCACGGTCTACCACTCGAATGCGTAGCACATCTGGTATTCTAGCTCTTTTAAACCGCATGCAACAACTTGATAGCGCACGTACAGTGCTGTCCTCGCTTGCAATTGGGCGTATATTTCTTCTATTAATCTTACAATTTTCTCCGGAAGCAGCCATCGGCGAACTTGTGACCTCTACGATTCTTATGTTAATATTTAATTAGCAAAATTCATTTTATCTTGCTTTGATCTACGGAATATTCTTCTTTCAAATCAAACCAGTGTAACTTGATCACTATATTATAACCTTATTGTATGTTCACTATAATCATAATTGCCTTCGTTTTAGTTTATAAAAGCTTTTGCAACACTATGTATTTATGATCATGCAAATAAAGCTAGTTGTTGTTATCCAGCACTAAAAATCCAAATCTTCTTCGTCGGTTAAAGTTCATAGTGTCTTCTTTGTGCAAGAACAACTGCCCTGCTTATAAAACTAGCAATGTTTACGTCACCTGTATGTGTACATTATAATTGAGGGAATACCATTGTAATCCAACAGTTATTTATCCGCTAGAGAGAGTTTTCCCCAATTGAAAAATTGGGCCCTGCATGATCTCAGCTCTGATTCTCTCTCCACCGCAGAGGCTTTTTTTGGAGGGGGGTTTCGTGCAGGGAGAATTCGCTGAGCGACTGGAGTGCAGGCATTAAATGGTGACAAATAAATAAAGTAATAATGATAATAATAATAATAATTATTATTATTACTTTATTTAATTGTCATCATCATCATCATCATCATCATTATTATTATTATTATTATTATTATTATTTTGCTGTGTGGTTGCAGAACTTTGTGACTGCTTCTCATTCGAATACAAGAAAAATAACCAGATCAAACTTCCTTTACAAAAAGATCATTTTTCGGATTGAAACAATTTATATAACTATCTTCGTTTTCAATTACTACTCCGTGACTTTTTCCCCTGTGTGTCTTGTTATCATTGATCGCCCACGGTTATATTATAAACACGCTTGTTATTACCCATGCCCCTCATAATATCTGCCACTAATCTTGGGCCGAGGTCACCGCTTTTCATCGGTGACTGTGAAAGAGGCCAGCCTTTTTTTTGTCATTATATCTTGTCAATATTTATAACGTGATTTATTCCACTTCAAATTTCATGAATTTAATTTACTGTTACAAGTCATGTGGTTAAAGGTAACGGAAATACTGAGAGTAAAAATAGAACTTAATTACGTCCAAGGAGTCTTCAACAAGTTCTGGAAACAAACAAACCGTGACATTGACGTATGCGTTGACGTCATTTCAAATGGGGGTCGAGTGCAATATAACGCCAAGCGAATCTCCCGCTGATAAACAATTTCGAAAGGCACGAGGATGAAATCGAAGGTTCTTTTGGATGTGTCTGATGTCCAGTTAGCTAGGGTAGGTTTGCTTAGTTGTCTATTTGTTTGTCAGCAACAGCAAGTCTGAAATTGATTGTAGATTACAACGCTTTAAATTCAGAATTTTTATATGCAATTTTCTACTTGCGGTCTGTACTTTCAATGCAATGTGCTATAAAGAGTCTAGGAAACAAAACAGTGATCCCGTAAGATATTTGGGAATTATATTTTCCATTGAGTCATTTGGAAGAGCGTTAATTGCTTTACATTAGTCAATCAATTTTCTACGCTTCACAACTCCAGCAGCAACTGTAGACACTTGCAAAGTTTGCCTTTACTGTCGAACATTGAGTGACTAAACTTTTAACTTTTAGCCTCATGCACTGGCCGAGCAACCTCAGACCGTCTGCGAATCAGGCATTGTACTATGTGTTCTATGCACGTACCAGACGATTTTGTTAACGCTTGAAATCTATAAACTTCTCTGACTCGTTTTCCTTCCTATTGCAGGTTGGTCCATCACAATCATGGCACCAGCAGGAACGAGCTACAAATAAAGGAAATGAATCCCAGCCGATATTAGCTCCACAAATGGATGCACACCGAATCCCTCCAACCGATTCCCAAACAGGTAAGAATCAGTTTTCTGGTTTGCTTTGACCTTAATCACAGTTAGCATGTTTTCACTGCCATCGATCGACTGTCTCAACGTTTTAGTCCGTGGGGCAGCGGTTAGAGATAAAAATCATCTTATAAATTAAGTCTATTAAACAACGAAAAGAAACTAATAGCCGAAACTAAAAGCCCAAACGAATGTTTTTCTCTTAGCTTTTAATTGAGCTTTTTCGGCCTGAATGCGGACGGAAGGCAATTTTTAGCATCATAGTGGTATTTTAAGATGAAATACACAATAATGATGAATATTTACCACTTTAAACAAGTACTCAGTTGTCTCATAATTTATGCTAACAGCACCAATTAGCGTTTCACGTAAAAAAGACACGAGATAAATTTTGAGTAAATTCGAAAGTTTCTTTCAGCGCCGGCCTAGTTAACATAAATAGTTTCAATTTTCGACGACCTTTTAAACAGGAAGAGACTTTTCCGTGTTTTCTATTTTTGTTGCAAAATAGAAAGCATACGTCATGACTGTATTGTTAACGTCATTCGAGCGATTTCACAACCATTCACAGTGTGAGAATGAATTGCAGCTGTCACTTCTGAGAAAGACGTCGTCTTTGTTTAGGATTAAGGACCAGAAGATGACTGTTGAAATTCAGGCTAATTGTGTGAGCTTTACACACTAATTCGGTCTCGCTTTGTTTCGATTTCAGCTTATAATGGCATGGACAGCTTGAACGAGATCGAAAATCCAACAAGTAATGCGGTCACCAATTTTCTAAATCTGTTGGATTTTGATACAGGTAAGATTCTTTGTTTCGCGGACATCCCAGCATTTATTTATTTATTTGAGAGGGAAATTTACCCCCAAAAAGAAAAAAAAATATATTCTTGACAATTCCTATAGATAAACGTTACAACCTCTTTTACAAGTCTTAATAATATAGAGAAAATTTGTCGAGACTGCAGATAACAACATTGCAAAATTAGTACTGCACCGTCACCAAGTATCTTATAGCATCTTATGGATCGTTCTTTTTTGTAAAAGAAAAACAGCAAATGAACAAAACAAGACAAAACAAACAGAAAAGCACAAACGAAGGGATCGTTAAATTTTACAGACGCTGGTATCTTAATTTATAATTATTATTATTATTATTATTATTATTATTATTATTTTATTGGGAATGGAGAGGTTGGGCCTTGAAAAAATACTCCTATTTTCTGGAACGATATTTTCGCTATTTCAAGTTCGAGTCTTAAATGTAGCGTCTCTTCAGCCATGCCTGATAGTTTTTCGCTGGTTAGAGAAAGCCCATGCATGAACTATTTAAATTTCCGAAAAAGAAAACTACCCTACAAAACTTATAATAATCAACAAGAGTTATCCCGGGACAAATTGTGTTTTTTTTTTCCTGACATTTATCGATGAACGATTTGGTGACTTTGGTGAGATGAGATGTCAATGTTTACGAAATTTGATGTTGCCAAGGCAACAAAATTTTGGCGGACATTTTTTTTAATGTGGATATTTTGTAATGAAGAACTTCGACTTTCTTGTGACGTTTGCAATTTTAGAATACTGACAAACAAACAAACTAGAGTAAAACAGATTTGGTTAGTTTTGGTTGCATTTGAGTCAGTTTTCACTGAGTTCTATAAATGAACAAAGTCAACAAACTATTTGGTAAGCAAACGGAACCGGCATTGAAACAGAACGTAAAATCAGTTCGATGTTTACACATTTATTCCGTTCATTTCTTACTCGTCAACTGCGACAGCATTATGAAGTCAGATTATTAGAGAATTAAGCAGGTGGAAAACTAAGGTTCCAGGTTACCTTTTGGATGTAACTTGGTGCAATGAAGAAACTTATATCTAATATTAAAATAGGTGTTGCCATCGTGTTTTTCAAAGCAAAACCGTGAACTTATAACATGAAATATTAACGTTGCAGTTTTTGTAACCTTTTCTTCTTTTTCAGAGGTTATAGATAATCAGGATGTTTCAAGAGGAAAACGAAACCGGGGACCCAAACCTAGGATAATGTATGATGGTAAGGTATTGTCCACAAAGAAATAATGAATGCGCTATACAGTAGAAGTCGTCGCTCTTTACTGTCAAGGTTATATACTTTTCGTGGTTTTCATTTACAAACAGAGACGAGGTTTCGGGCGATATCTTTGCACCGCTCATTTTTTACGGCGTAAAACAAAAGGTACCGCTCTACTTCAGTATAGGCTGGCTTCATTTTGAAATTGGAGAAAACATGGGGGAAGAGAGTGGTTACGGAGTATCTGAGAATCCCGTCAATGTTATACTATTTCACTTAGTAAAATACGAGCTGTGCATTATTCAAACTGTACGTGATAAGGGGATTTCAATTGCCGAGCTGGTTTGCGCAAAACAGGGGAAAAGTTGTTTTTATACTTTGATTTTGATATAGAGGTTTCAAAGGTAGTACTAAGAGAAAAATGAACAGGAGCTGAAAATCTATTTGGTGACCCAAACCTAAATATATTATTTCCTTTTCCTTCTATTAGCTTATTAAGTATCGTAATTTATTTTTTTCCCAGCGGCGCGAGCTACACCCCAGCCTCGCTATACAGTATATTTATATTGCAATCCTTCTTCTTCTTCTCCTCAACGTAATGCGGTTCAGCCTTTGTTCATTAACCGAAGGTTGCCATTCCCAATCTGGCTAACTGCTGGCACATTACTTCGTCAGTTTAGTTGTTTTCTGAATTGAATTGACAGGTTTTTTTTTATTTTCATTTCGCAGGAAATGGTCCAATGCAGCTTTGGCAGTTTATTCTTTCGCTGCTCGTTTCTTCACCTTCCGAGAGTGTAGTGGAATGGACCAGAGAGCGGAAGTACGAATTTCGAATCCTGGAGCCGGATAAACTTGCGAGACTGTGGGGGGCGCTTAAGAAAAAGCCTGCCATGAATTTCAAAAAGCTGTCCCGAGGTCTTCGATATTATTACGGAAAGTCAATGATGGAGAAGTCTCGAGGAAAACAATACACATACGAGTTCGTCATGGATATTACAGCAATCCTTGGCTATGATCCAGTGGGCAGGATTACAGAGGGTAGGAACACAAAGTTCTCTAAGCCTGGAATTACACCATCTACAGTTTTTCGTTCAGTTGAGGTAGATGTGGCGGGGTCTGAAGGGCAGATGGAAGAACAAAGGGGTACAACAGAGGGCTGTAGAGGTACTGGAGAGGGATACTGTAACACAGGGGAGGGTTTTCTATTAGCATTTAAAGCCACAGGGGAGGTATTGTCGGATGCAGAGAGAGAATTCGGGGGCACAGAGGGAGGGAATGGGTTTGGGGAAACAGGGGAGGTTTTCAGGGGAACTGAGGAAGGGAAGGGTTTTAAAGGTTCACGGGAGGTATTTGAAGGAACAAAAGAGGGATTAGAGGGAATGAGAGAGGACTTTCGATGCATGAGGGAGAGAATTTTGAGTACAGGAGAGAGTTTTTGTGACCCCGGGGCGGGATTTTGGGGGATAAAGTTGTTCGATTTCAGCGTGCTTGTTGAATCGAACGAAACGAGTAGCTTCTATGAAGCATTATAAGTATGTCTTGTATCAAGCATATCATATAGTTAAAATTCTTTTGAGAGTTTTGTTCAATGACCACTTCAACAT